ATTGAAAAATAACATAGTGGTTTGCAAGAAAAAGTGCTGTCATCTATAAAACCAGCCGAAAGGAAATCTGTGAGACAAAGAGATTTTTTTTAATTTATTTTATTATTTTATTGTATGGACTAAGAGGGCCACCCAAATCCAACAGTGTGATTCTGGGCAGCATACAACAGAAAAACAATAGCAAAAACACTAAACCAAAAGAACCACATAGCATTAAAGCGTAATGTGTTAATGGCAAACAAACACAATAATGAAAACAATCACTGACTGTGGTAACTAGTGTATTAATAAACAATGTTGGTGTGTGTATATATATATAATTCTTTTCCGTCTCCTGCGATCTTGCTTCTTTTTTCACAATCTCTGACCCGATTTGGAAGAACTGTTGATTGGAAATTAGAACTCCTATGCAATATTCCTCATCCTATCTGAAAAAGACATTTTTTTCCTTAATCATGTACTGGACTTTTTTTGTCAGGTTTTTTTTAAAATATATATAAAATTTATTTTTGACCTATGGTGCTGTCTGGCATATTGAGCATTTCATTTTTAACAGAAGCAGAAATCTAAAGTTTTTGAAGGAGTAGCGGACAGTTAATTAATTGAACACATTTTTAAAAAATAGCTATGTGAAATTGCTCCATTGTATGCCAAAGCATTAGGTTCTAGGGTAGCCCAATTAATAGAACATTTTGCAAGGTTCCTTCCTGATCATGAGTTTTGTATATACTTGTGAACAAGGTTATTAGTGTATTATCAAATCAGTTACTGTGTATATTCCATTTCCCATCATCATTTATTATTACCATAGTCAGTGATTGAAACGCCAGGGAAATCAGGAGAACCAGGCAATTCAAATGGGTATAAAGATTTTTTATTTGTTTGTTTGTTTGTTTGTCAAACATATACAAGGTAACAGGTATAGGTATGAACATAAACATGAACCAAGGAAGTAGATGCAGATAAATGGGTACAGTAAGACAGGGACGGTGGGCACACTGGTGCGCTTATGCACACCCCCTATTTATTGCAAGCTTAAGCTTAAGCTCTCTACAAGAATCTGAATTATTAACAGCCTAAGCAAATTGGTGGTAGATAACAGTCACAGGAAATCAAGATGGGTTGGACTTAGATGTCTTGTGAGCGTGAAGGGACTCATGACTGATGACATATTTGACCACTCCCTTGGGCTCAGCCTGGTCATCTCCTACAGCAACTTTTTTTAAAGTCAGTGACTTCTGCGTCAAGTATATTTTTGCCATATGCTGTGTGTGTTGACTCTCCTTTTTTATTTCCTTTGTTCTTCCATTTCTAAATTGTCTTAACTGTCCGAAAATCTCTTTTATTCTCAAATAACTTCATTCATTCTTTCATACTCTGAGTTGAGAATGCAATATCCTAAGGCATCAAATCCTGCTCTGTTTCAGTGTGTGGGAATGATGTTATCAAGGAGAACAGCCAGTGAGATGTTATAGTTAGTGTTGGACCAGCCCTGAGTGGATTTTGGTTCAGATTCTGAAGTTCAGCCATCAAGTGCACAGCATGATCATTTCTCTCCCCCTAAGATATCTCATAAAGTTAGAAATCTCTCTCTATCTCGCTCTCTCTCCCTCCCTCCCTCCCTCCTCCTCTCTTTCAATATTTCAATATTTCAGAGGCCCTTTGAAGGACTTTACCATTAATCAACTTAGAGAGGAAGACATGGCTCTCAGACTGAAATCTCCATGTACCAATATTATAGACAGTATAGCAGATATTCGGCATTTTATGTACGAAGAAAACTTACACCACTAGATCTCCAAATAATCATAGAGGTCTCTGGAGTGGGATTGATATGATATCTCTCCATTCTACCTTTTCTTCTGATATAACCCTTGGTCCAATTCAAGCCTGGAATGACAGTTCCAGCTGTTTTCCCTCTCTTCTGAACTTCCTGTAACTCTGTAATCCTCTGGGAAAGTTTTTGAGTTAGCTTGGAACAATGTGTAGCTCAAAGAATATATCTACTCTAATAACCAGTAAGCAGTTACCAGAACTTTAAAACATGAACATGTAACAACCAGATGCTGCAAAAATTTCATAATTATCTTAAGTTGATTGGCCATAAGATATTTTTCTTGTATAATTATGACTGTTTTCTTCAAGCTTCATCCACACACATATACCTTTGGGGTGTGCTTCTATCTTTTATCTTGTCATTAGATCCTTGCATACTTTTAAGTCTGAAACAGAGCAGCTGTTTACTTAATAGATGAACTTGTCTGGACTATGTTTGTCTATTTTTATTAAGGCCGGTAGTAGCTGATGCTTTGGCAGAGCTGATGTTTTTCTCCCTGATTACTTCATCTCATGTGGATGTTAACTAATGTAGTTTCAGTCTGGGATATTTTGGAGCTTAAATGAGAGTAGGAAGCATTGTAATACTTTATCTATTTATGGCTTAATGTAGAATGATTTTTTTTCCCACAACAAAATGAGCTAGGGAAAATGTATTGCAGCATTATTCAAAATGCACCTGTTTTTCTAGTTACTACATGTGCCTGTTCATTATAAAGAATTTGGTTTTTAATCTTTTAGGCTTGGCTAATTAGGATTTTTCTGATTTATTATAAAGCTCAACATGTAGTCAAGCTTCTAGCTGACTTGAAATTAGAAGTTGAAAACATTACAGAGCATTTTTCTTTAGTAGGATGTTTGAATTTTCATAGACTCTATTTTCAAGATGCATGCCTGTTCCCAATACTGTTTGTGAAGCTTGGGAAGACTGGATGATTTTTTAAAAAAAAACCGATTGAAAATCAACCCGTGGTATTGTAACATCACTACATAAATCTATGGAAACATCTGAAAAATTGTATAGTGTTCTGTTCATAACAATAGCAATACCACTTCACAGTGCTTTCCAGCCCTCTCTAAGTGGTTTACAGAGTTAACATATTTCCCCCAACAATCTGGGTTCTCATTTTACTGATCTCGGAAGGATGGAAGGCTGAGTCAACCTTGAGCCTGGTGGGATTTGAACTGCCAAACTGCAGGCAGTCAGCAGAAGTAGCCTACAGTACTGTACTCTAACCACTGCACCACCGCAACTCATCGTGTTTGGAAAGAATTACACCTTTAGTTTGGAAAAAGAGAGACTGAAGGAACATGGGCATGAAGAAATTTGATCAAGAACCATGCAATAAATAAACCTAATTTGAAGGAGATTTAAGATAAGTAAAAAAGAAAGTCCTTCTTCACATAGCGTACTGTATAACAAATCTGTGGAATTAATTATCATAGGTCCTGATGATATCTTTTAAATCTGATGGCTTTAAAAGGGTGCAGTATAAATTAACAGAGGTTTGAGCTTTCAAAGTCTATTAGTCTTGAAATTCAAGACTACCACCAGATTGCAGAGTACAGACATCCAGCTATAGAGAAAACAGTATTGGGAGAAGAGGATGTCTTGTGTTTGGGACCATCTCAGAGGCCAATGTGTAAAATAAAATGCTAGAGTAAGATGGGCTTTTTCCATGGAACTGAAGTTTTCTTGTGCAAGTATAATTTCAGAATGTCATGGAGGAACTTAGATATAGTGACTACTTGTACACACATAATTTGCTTCATTCATGAACTTTAATTAAGGATTTCTTTACGAATTCTGTTTTGTTCTGGAAGAAGTCACTATTCATATGACAGCTATAAAATAGATCAGGAACTGGAGATGTTTTTTATTACAGTTGCAACATCCCTGAAAAAAGCGGCTTGTAACACTTACAACCATTACAACATTCCCATGTGATCAAAATTCAGATGCCTGGCAACTCACTCATACTTATGACGGTTGCAGTGTCCTGGGATCATGTGATCCCCTTTGGCAACTTTCTGACAAGCAAAGTCAATGGGGAATCCAGATTCACTTTACCAAATGGGTTACTAATTTGACAAGTGAGTGATTTAGTTAACAACTGTGGCAACAAAAGTCGTAAAATGGGGCAAAACTCACTTAACAGATGCCCCACTTAGCAACTGAAATTTTGGGCTCAAGGACTACCTGTAAATTAATGACCATTATTCCTACCTCTGTTCACGGCAACTAAGTTGATAATAGCAGCTAGAATAACAAAAGTATTCCTAATAACTATATTTTGCTTAAAGTTTGCCTGTGTTTTGATAGAGAAATGTGATGATTCAAATTTCCTTTCATTAACCAGGACACACCTTGTATTCTTTGTTCCCACCCATTCCAGGCTTATTTTAAAGCAAGTTAATCTTTTTTATTGAAAGATGTAACTAACAACCCTCTGGTTCAGGCATGAGTTATTTTTTGGCTTCGGTGTTCCATCGACAGCTAAATCTTAAGAATGACCTGAGCTTGTTTTAACTGTATTCACGCAGCTTTTCTCCATTTCCTTCCTATGACTAGTCTAGTCTGATGTTTACTTATTTGGATCCTATATTGCCATGATGCGAACCAATGGCACACGTGCCAGGGGTGGCACACAGAGCCCTCTCTGTGGGCATGCACACTGTCGCCAGCTGCTCTTCTGGTTTCTGGCCAGTACATGTGCACCAGCCGCCCGGTCTTCACGGGCGCTAGATCACTGGAAAACAGCCTGAAAACGGCCAGAGAAACAGCCAAAAAACAGGCATGCGTGCGCCGGCCAGGTGGACTTGGGGTTTCTGGTGCTCCAGCATGTGCATGGGTGCACATGCATGGGCATGCACGGATATTCCAGTTTGGGCATTCAATGCCGAAAAGGTTTGCCATCACTGCTATATAATATCCTGTGAATAAGATAGAACAACCGCACACACACACAAAGAAAGGCTTGTTGCATCCTTTCTGCACCACTTTCTCTCTCTCTCTCTCCCTCCCTCTCTCCCTCCTCCCCCCTCCGATGGGAAGCTCTAGCTTTACACAATAATTACATTCATTAAAAATGGAATAACTAGATTTATTACATATAATAATTATGTTTCTGTTATTTGTGTTCTAAACTTGTTTTTCCTTTCAGTCCCAGGTGAATCATCATACTTCTACCAGTAATGAGACCTATCAAGAACGTCTGACAAGATTGGAAGGTGATAAAGAATCTCTCATATTGCAGGTATGAAATTTGCATAACCTTGCATTGATGATGCCATAATAAAGTCTTCCTCCTAGTAACTATAGAGATACAGCCATAGGATTTTCTTGACAATAATTTTGAAGTAATTTATCACTGCTTTTTCCAGAACTTTTTAAAACTTTGCAATTTCCTCCAACCCTGGAATTTCCCAACTTTTCCCCATCCAGGTACTGACCAGATCCACTCCTGCTTTTCAAGATTAGCCAACATCAGCTAGATGCAGCTACTTCTTGTTAAATATACGAAGTACATTGATTCATTTAATAGTCGTGGTGGCGTCAAAAATAATTTCATATTCATTTTCAGATACAGTATGTCCTGCTTTTTACAGAAGATGAATCACCCAGCTGCTACATATGAAATAAGTTTAGGCTTGTAGAATGATTAAGCCACTTCCTTCTTTTTAGAGCAAATTAAATAGCTTTAAGAGGCATACATGTGTAGAAGTCAATGTAAGTTCTGTTATCAGTGCAGTCTTTTGTGTCCTTGTGTAAAATCAATTTCCTACATTAAAAGCTTCTATACTAGTAAATGACCTGGCTGGATTGTCCATTTACCAAAATGATTGCATTGCTTGTTGGTTTGTTATCAACCCTAGGAAATGTATGGCTGTTTCCCATACCAGTCCTGGGAGCATTCTTCCCAAGATACACCCGTGGCATTGTACAAAGCAGTAATGAAAAATAAGCAAACACCCAAACCATCAGATCCAGGCATCTACTGGGCCTTGACTTCCAATAAAGTCCTGGAATGATTTATGAACATAGTTTATGGAATCTATTGAAAAGTTCAATATCCTTCACTATGCCTGGTCTCTTGAATTCCTTGGCAATGTCTTGGTTGTCTGTTTTTTGCTTGTCTCACATTAACATGAGCCTCTTCTTTTTATGACTGCCAAGAACATGTGACCTAGGTCAGGTCAATGCTAATTTCTTTTCCTATCAAATAGGGAAATAAGCCTTATCAAGCAACTACAGTATAAAACACAAACATACAAACAAAAAGTTACAATTAGGGTGCTATGTGTTTTGCTTCATTTGTTTTTCCTCATTAGTTTGTTTGTTAAATTTATTTGCCACCTATCTTGCTCTGGGGCTACTCTAGGTGGCTTACAGCAAAAAAAGGGAAGAAATGAAAAGAGTGTAAACGGAAGTTTCTTTGCAGTCATTTGGTCATTAGTACTCTCCCTGGGGGCTCTTGACGCCACTTGGGGTTTATCTGTGCCCTCAGGGTCACCTGTATCAGAGTGCAAATGGAGATGGAATCTTCTTGGAACCGCTGAAAGAACTGTGTTGTAGACAGGAGCTAGGTAGTGTCTTATGCTTCCCCTAGAGTTCTTTGACCAACAAAGTCCAAAATAGGCCTCTCTGTCAGCATATGCCTCTTGGAGAATGTATCTTCCATGATAGAACTGCCCTTCTTAAGCTATGCTACAAGATAATCTTGAAACAAAGCCACAATTTGTTCTCTACCTCCCTATTATTTTCATATCCATGGTCATTTATCCTTCCATTGGCTTTAAATGTTCATGATAGTTAATTGAAGATGATGATGTAATTAGAATAATTTTTGTGAGCTGTATATCTATTTCCTGCTCTAGTATCTATTTCGCATTCAGAAAAGCAGGTGCAAGTCATTAATGCTTCTTTTATGAGGCATTGCCTTAATAGGACATCATGTAGAAATATGACATTATTTGCAAAAGTACATTTGCGTGGCAAGTAATAATGGATTCAATTGCAATAGGTTACACCATTAAGCTAATGCAAGATATTTTATAATGGATCTAATTATTATTAATAGAGATCTTGTTAGAAATATTTTCATTCCCATAAAATCGATTGCAGCATTTTTACTCACCGGTTGTGAAATGACTGGATTTTTGTATATATAGTACAATACATAGTAATAAAAAGATGGTATTGTGATTGCAACTGAAAATTTTTAAAGTCCATGTTCTTTCAAACAAAAAGCAGGATTTCCACAAATGACACAAAGCAAGATATATTTTAGAGTTGTACAGGCATTGTTGTGTCAGTATCATAACAATGAGGATAGGCTTTATTTTGTCTTAGTGATGATTAGGTAAAGCTAAAGAAGGCTGAAGGATACTAATGGGAAAAATCCTAAACTGAGCGGATACTGATATGAAAATAATCTGTATCTGTTGGCATTCACAGTCAACAACTTTCTCTTTAAATCTATGTTACTTTGGAAATAGTACATAATCATGTACTATTACAGAAGTACAAAAAGTATGTCATTATTCTGCAATAGTTCCTTTATTAATACCAACCTTGTCCAAAAGAAGGAAGGAGATAGCAAATCCATGAAGCTCTTCAGTCAATTTATCCCAAATTTTAAGTTTTATGAAGAAAAAAGAATTGTGAATGGTGCAAGTCCCTGTTTATCGTATGATAATTATAATCATATTTCTAAACCACATTTTCAGATGGATTACAAAAGCAGTGCGTATGTATGTATGTATGCATGCATGCATGCATGCATGCAGGTCTTGGCGTATTCA